GATTTTGGGGTGATCCCAATCCCGATCCTGACCGGAGGGGCCTGAGGGGGGAGGGGCTGAGGGGGGAATTTTGGGGTGATCCCGAGGATTTTAGGATGATCCTGATCCCGATCCCAATCCCGACTCACTGTGGCTGGAGGAGCCAAGGGGGGAAGGGCTGGGGAGGGGGATTTTGGGATGATCCCGAGGATTTTGGGATGATCCCGAGGATTTTGGGGTGATCCCAATCCTGACCAGAGGGGCCTGAGGAGGGAGGGGCTGGGGGAGAATTTTGGGATGATCCTGATCCCAATCCCGATCCTGACTCACTGCGGCCGGAGGGGCCCGAGGGGGGAATTTTGGGAAGATCCCAAGGATTTTGGGGTGATCTCAAGGATTTTGGGGTGATCCCAAGGATTTTTGGGATATTCCCAATCCCAATCCCGACTCACAGCGTTGGGAGGGGGGGCCGGGGGTTGGTCCCGGGGGCCCCCCCTGGGAAGAGGATTCGCTCCCGGTCCGGGATCGCTCCTGGTTTTCTTCACTCCTCCAGCTCGGATGTCTGGGATAGGGGGGAAAATTGGGATAATGGGATATTGGGATAATGGGAAAGGGGCGGGACAGCCCCGGCATTCCCATGGGATTGGCGGCGCCTTTCCCACGAGATCCTTCCCTGCCCAGCCCACCATTCCCAAGGAATTCCCTACCTATCCATCCCAGCTTTTCCAAGGATTCCCTGCCTATCCATCCCACCTTTCCCAAGGCCTCTGGAGCTTCTCCTGCTCCTCCTGGAGCTTCTCCTCCACCTCCCTCTCCCTGGGGACCATCTCCAGCAAATCCCACCTTTCCCATGGCATTCCCTACCTATCCATCCCATCCCATCCTGGGATCATTCCCACCTTTCCCGGGGTCTCCTGTCCATCCTCTTGTCATCCTGTTCCCTCTGGAGCTTCTCCTGCTCCTTCTGGAGCTGTTCCTCCACCTCCCTCTCCCTGGGGACCATCTCCATCCTATCCCATCCCATCCTATCCTATCCTATCCCACCTCTTCCATGGGATTCCCTACCTATCCATCCCATCCCATCCTGGGATCATTCTCACCTTTCCCTTGGGATCATTCCCACCTTTCCCAGGGTTTCCTGTCCATCCTCTTGTCCTCCTGCTCCTCCTGGAGCTGCTCCTCCACCTCCCTCTCCCTGGACACCGTCTCCATCCCATCCCATCCCACCTTTCCCTCGGGATCTCTCCCCCATTCCCTTGGGATCATTCCCACCTTTCCCGGGGTCTCCTGTCCATCCTCTTGTCATCCTCCAGCTGCCTCTGGAGCTTCTCCTGCTCCTTCTGGAGCCTCTCCTCCACCTCCCTCTCCCTGGGGACCATCCCCAATCCCATCCCATCCCATCCCATCCCATCTTTCCCATGGGATTCCCTTCCTATCCATCCCATCCCATCCTGGGATCATTCCCACCTTTCCCAGGGTCTCCTGTCCATCCTCTTGTCCTCCTGCTCCTCCTGGAGCTTCTCCTCCACCTCCCTCTCCCTGGACACCATCTCCAGCCCATCCCATCCCATCCCATCTCATCCCACCTTTCCCTCGGGATCGCTCCCCCTTTTTCTTGGGATCATTCCCATCCCATTCCCACCTTTCCTGGGGTCTCCTGTCCATCCTCTTGTCATCCTGCTCCTCCTGGAGCTTCTCCTGCTCCTTCTGGAGCTTCTTCTCCACCTCCCTCTCCCTGGGGACCATCTCCATCCTATCCCATCCTATCCCACCTTTCCCTTGGGATCTCTCCCCCTTTTTCTGGGGATCATTCCCCCTTTTTTTTGGGATCATTCCCACCTTTCCCGAGGTCTCCTGTCCATCCTCTTGTCATCCTCCAGCTGCCTCTGGAGCTTCTCCTGCTCCTTCTGGAGCCTCTCCTCCACCTCCCTCTCTCTTGCCGCCGTGTCCACGGGTTTGGCCCCCCCGAAGATGGAGGCGGCGCGGGAGGACTGAGCCGGAGCTCCGGAATTTTCCTCTTCCTTGGGAGCGCTCCGGGGCTTCAGGTTCAGCTTCGGCCTCTGGGTGGGACCTGGGAATGGGAAGGGATGGATAAGGGGTGATCCTGTGGGAATATCCCATGGGAATGTCCCACCCCATGGTCAGGGGTCGGCCCCGGCTGGTCACGGCGTTCCCAGAGGGATCAGCTGCTCCTTATCCCGCTTTTCCTGAGGGAAGAGACTCCTCCCTATCCCACCTCTCCTGAGGGATCATTCCCATCCCATTCTACCTCTTCCAAGACACCATTCCTATCCTATCCCACCTTTCCCTCCCACCTTTCCCAAGGGATCATTCCATCCCCTCCCACCTTTCCCTGGGAACCATTCCCATCCCATCCCATCCCATCTTTCCCTCCCACTTTTCCCAATGGATCATTCCCATCCCATCCCACCTTTCCTGAGGGATCATTCCCATCCCACCTTTCCCTGAGAACCATTCCCATCTCATCCCATCCCATCCCATCTCATCCATCCCATCCCATCCCTGTTCTCCCCATCCCGTCCCATCCATCCCATCCCATCCCATCCCACCCCACCTTTCCCAGGGAACCATTCCCACCCCATTCCACCTTTCCCATCCCATCCCACCTCTCCTGAGGCATCATTCCCATCCCATCCCACCTTTCCCTGGGACACATTCCCATCCCATCCATCCCATCCCATCCCATCCACCCCATCCCACCTTTCCCTGGGAACCATTCCCACCCATCCCACCTTTCCCAAGGGATCATTCCCACCCATCCCACCTTTCCTGAGGGATCATTCCCATCCCATCCCATCCCATCGATCCCATCCCATCGATCCCATCCCACCTTTCCCAGGGAACCATTCCCACCATCCCATAATTCCCGGAGATCCCTCCCTTCCCTGTCCCACCTCTGTCGTCCCTGCGGAAGTCGTCCCTTCCGTAGTCATCCCTGGAATTCCAGCGCTCCATCCGCTCCTCCCGCCGCTCGTAACGATCCTCGAATCCGCGGAAATCGTCGTCCCGTCGGTATCCGCTGCCAAAGGCCCGACGGCCCCCGCCCAGCCGGGAATCGTACCCTACGGAAAAACGGGAATGACAATGGGAACACCAGGAATGACAACAGGCCCACCCTCAGGAACACCAGGATCCATCCGGGAACCAGCCAGGAATGCCCATGTTCCCACCCAGCCCACATTCCCACTCTATGGAACACCAGGATCCAGCCGGGAATGCCCACACTCCCACCCTGTGGAAAACCAGGATGGATCCAGCTAGGAATGTCCATGTTCCCACCCTGCAGAACACTGGGATACAGCTAGGAATGACCACATTCCCACCCTATGGAAAACTGGGAATGACCACGGTCCCACCCTGTGGAAAACCGGGAATGACTGCGTTCCCACCCTAAGGAACACCGGGAATGACAACATTCCTACCCTAAGGAAAACTGGGAATGACAACATTCCCACCCTGAAGAACACCGGGATCCAACCGGGAATCGTACCCTATGGAAAACCGGGAATCACCACAGTCCCACCCTGAGGAACACTGGGAATGACCGTGTTCCCACTCTGAGGAACACCGGGATACAGCTGGGAATTGTACCCTAAGGAAAAATGGGAATCACCACGGGCCCACCCTCAGGAACACTGGGATACAGCCAGGAATCGTACTCTACGGAAAATCGGGAATGACAACATTCCCACCCTACGGAAAACTGGGATACAGCTGGGAATGACCACAGTCCCACCCTGAGGAACACTGGGAATCGTACCCTACGGAAAACTGGGAATGACCACATTCCCACCCTAAGGAAGACCGGGAATGACAATATTCCCACCCTGAGGAACACTGGGATCCAGCCGGGAATCGTACCCTACGGAAAAACAGGAATGGCAACGGTCACACCCTATGGAACACCAGGAATGACCATGTTCCCACCCTGAGGAACACTGGGATCCAGCTGGGAATTGTACCCTACGGAAAAATGGGAATGACAACGGGCACACCCTATGGAACACCGGGAATCGTACCCTACGGAAACCCGGGAATGACAACAGTCCCACCCTAAGGAAAACCAGGAATGACCACAGTCCCACCCTACGGAAAACGGGGAATGACAACATTCCCACCCTGAGGAACACCAGGAATCGTACCCTACGGAAAACAGGGAATTACCGCATTCCCACCTTGAGGAAAACCAGGAATCACCACGGTCCCACCCTAAGGAAAACCTGGGAATGCAGCCGGGAATCACCACAGTCCCACCCCATGGAACACCGGGAATCGTACCCTAAGGAAAACTGGGAATCACCATGGTCCCACCCTATGGAAAACCAGGAATGACAACATTCCCACCCTATGGAAAATCGGGAATGCCCACATTCCCACCCTCCAGAGCCACCCAGATCCAGCTGGGAACACCCACATTCCCACCCTACAGAACACCGGGATCCAGCTGGGAATGACCACATTCCCACCCTACGGAAAACTGGGAATGACCACGGTCCCACCCTGAGGAACACCATGAATCGTACCCTATGGAAAACCGGGAATGACCATGTTCCCACCCTATGGAAAACCAAGATACAGCCGGGAATGACCACATTCCCACCCTAAGGAAAACCGGGAATGACCGCAGTCCCACCTTAAGGAACACTGGGAATTGTACCCTACGGAAAACAGGGAATGACCACGGTCCCACCCTGAAGAACACCGGGAATGACAACATTCCCACCCTGTGGAACACCAGGAATGACCACAGTCCTACCTTAAGAAACATTGGGATCCAGCCGGGAATGACCACCCACATTCCCACCCTGCGGAAAACCGGGATGGATCCAGCCAGGAATGTCCCCATTCCCACCCTGAGGAACACTGGAATTCCCTGGGAATGTCCCACCTCGGTCGTAGTCCCTGCTCCGGTCGTCGTAGCGATCCCGGCTCCCGAATCCTCGATCCATGTCCCGCCGGGGCCCATCCCGGTACCGGTCGTCGTAACGATCCCGGTATCCTGGAATGGGAATTGTGGGAACGGGAATTGTGGGAATGGGAATTGTGGGAATGGGCACAGGGGCCTCATGGAAAACAGGGAATCCGGGTGGGAGAGGGGAGGCCCCGATTTTCCAGGAGCGAGATCCCGGTGGGAATGAAAGAGGGGGGTCCAGGTGGGAGCCACAGAGGTCTGGGAATGAGGGAGATCCAGGTGGGAATGAGCTCTGGGAATGAACTCTGGGAATGAAGGAGCTCCAGGTGGGAATGGATTCCAGGAATCACCAAGCTCCAGGTGGGAATGAGCTCATGGAATGAACAAACTCCAGGTGGGAATGAGCAAGTTCTGGGAATGAACGAGCTCCAGGTGGGAAGGAAGGAGCTCCAGGTGGGAATGGACTCCAGGTGGGAATGAGCTCATGGAATAAAGGAGCTCCAGGGGGGAACGAGCTCATGGAATGCAGGAGCTCCAGGTGGGAACGAAGGAGCTCCAGGTGGGAATCAAGGAGCTCCAGGTGGGAATGAACTCATGGAATGAAGGAGCTCCAGGTGGGAATGGGTCCCAGGTGGGAACGAGCTCATGGAATGAAGGAGCTCATGGAATTAATGAGCTCCGGGTGGGAACCAAGGAGCTCCAGGTGGGAATGAATGAGCTCCAGGTGGGAATGAAGAAGCTCCAGGTGGGAATGAGCTCATGGAATGAACGAGCTCCAGGTGGGAATGAACGAGCTCCAGGTGGAAATCAATGAGTTCCAGGTGGGAATGAGCTCATGGAATGAATGAGCTCCAGGTGGGAATGAACGAGCTCCTTGTGGGAACGAGCTCCAGGTGGGAACAGATTCCAGGAATCACCAAATTCCAGGTGAGAACGAGCTCACGGAATGAACGACCTCATGGAATGCAGGAGCTCCAGGTGGGAACAAGCTCCAAGTGGCTCCCAATCCCAAACCCCCCAAGCCCCCCCCCCCGGATCCCAGGCCGGGGCACATTCCCAGGATCCCGAGGAAGGCAGGGAATGATTCCATGTTCACTCACTGTCCCCGAATCCGTCGTCGCCCCGGCGCGGCGGGAAGTCGTCGAAGGCGTCGGGATTTGCCGGCCGAGCTCTCCAGTCGCTCTCCAAACGCTCCGAGTCCCGGAAACGGTCCCGGTCCCGCCCGAAGCAGCGATCATCCCGGTCTGG